AGCCTGACGGGAGCCTCATCCGGGAGATCGGCAAGGGGCAGTTGCAAGGCCCATGGTTCATTGCGGTGGACGAATCACGTGGCCTTCTCTCTGTCACTGACTGCGACGGCCATAAAGTTTGCGTGTTTGACCTTGAGGGGAATCTGAAGGTCAAGTTCGGTAAATGGGGTCGGAATGAGGGAGAACTCTACCACCCATCTGGTGTAACCTTCGACCCGGCAGGTAACATCATTGTAGCGAGTTGGGGTAGCAACCGACTACAGGTGTTTAAACCTGACGGGACGTACCTCAGAAATGTAGCCATCGTGAAGGAAGCAGACCCACGTGGAATCGCCCTGACACACGATGGACACATCGCTGTAGCGAGTTGGTTCGGATATTGTGTCGAGTTGTACGGCTACAAGTAGTGTGATAAATGTTCTTCTGATATTGGTCATGCTCTCAAGTGCCAACAAATGGTAGAACAATTTAGACGTTTTAGTACCATACCCCAACTATAGGCTCTGAACTTCAGCGAACAACCTGTGATCATTTTCTTAGGTACACTTCTAGCAAGAATGAGGCACATTCAAAGACCAATATGCTATATAACTTGAACTTTTCAATTAGTAGATGATAAGCTTGTTGATGTTGATAAATGATAGCAATATTGGTTGACCAGCTACATGTATTACCATAAAGAGGTGTGCTGCAGAATACTAAGCGGAAAATTCTATTTGTACTAGAGACAATTTCACATATCTTTTTGTTTAAAAGCCATTGCATTGGGCATGTAATTGTATTTCATGTATTAATTATAACATTTAAGTTATGTAGTAAGCTCAGCCTATGGATGTGAAATATTTTACTGAAATAAACCAGTCATAATAGGAACATTGCTGGCTGTTGTTTTTCACTGCGTGGGTGATGCTTTGGATGAAATATAATCTAGTATCTGTTCTCATAGACTGTCTGTGAAGATTCTTCTTTATGGTCTTACGAGCGGCCGATGAAATGCCTACTATACTGTCTGTGCCGCTCAGTGCTTGCGTAACTGGTCACAGTAGACCAATCTGTGTGTGCATCAATGTTTACTCAATTTTACACACAACACAGTCACGTAACTCGTAGATTGAGTCGGGGTCTAAAGGAATTTCACGTGTGCACTGCTTATGCATACTGCATATGTGGTTGAATGTTGGGACCTACGCAAGTCTTTTGTTAGATGTCTTTAGAATTCAGCGTAACGCCACTTCTACTTCACAATCCTTATTATTTTAGTCCCTTGCTAATAGAAAATAAGTCTCATTTACATCTGTCCAATAGGCTTATTGTTTTTACAAGTTACAATTACACATACATCATTGTCCAAGAGTATGCTTAACGTCACCCATAAACACGTTGCTAGCTAATTGTTATTGAAAACTAGGTGTGCTCAATCATTCTTAGAACTACTGTCAAATAAACTTTAAAGTATCACTACGAAACCTTGAGTAAAAGTTGTTTTTATAAATGTATCATTACCAAAGAAGAAAGAAGACATTACATGTATGGACGGTTTGAGCAATTTCAGTTTATGATAACTTTAGCGCTAGTTACCTCATTCAGAGTTTTGAGAGTATAAGGTGTTTGTGTCGTTCTTTACCTGTCCAGGTGCATAGACAGGTGAGTTTTGCGTCGTGACGTCGGTTCCGTACGTTTCGGAACCTTCCGAACTGTCACCGGCACGCTCGCGATCATACACGTCGAAAACATGACGCGACTTCGCGTAAGGTACAACTGCGTCAGGTGAAGGGTCACGCATGCCATTGTCTGAGTTTGGCGACTGAGAATCACCTTTATCGCTATCTGAAACTTCCGCATTATCATTGGTAGGTTCAGAGGCCTGTGCGTCTGGACCAGTTAAGGTGCTGAGATCTTCTTCCTCCTTACGACTAGTTTCGCCTGCTGTTTCGATTTCTTCAATGTGATATTGGGGGACATCGAAAACGTACGGCGAGCTTGCGTAAGGTTCGGGTGACGTGTAATCAGGTACAGTTTCGTACTCGTGGGCATCCGAGTCTGAGTTTGGAGCATTGCAAGAGCCGTCCTGTGCATCTGCTTGGTTTTTCTGATGGACTGTAGCCGCCCGATGGTAGAACATACTGCTCACAACCTGGCCAGCGCTAGTCGCCATGTTGTTCGCCCGAGCCTGTTCCTTGCCTATTGTACAATACACGGCTAACATGACAAACCACAGAGCAACGATCGACCCGACCACTGACCCCGTCACCACCCAGCCTGTTGCCACGGCAACGGCGGCAGGGGCTGACGTCACCGGTGACGTAGACAGAGTGTGTGTTGACGTCATCGGAGTCTGTGACGCAGGCAGAGTTTGTGTACTGTTACACTTCTCTGACATTTGTTTAAAAGTTGTAGACGGCACCTGACTGGAGGTTCTATCTGCCACCGAGACACCGATTGTAGCAGTTTCAGATATCTGATACATTTCGGAATGTTGCAGTTTCTGTTTCTCAGTCCTTAGTGCTGAACTCCTGGTTGTTAGGGGCAACATGGCTGATGACACGATTGCGTCAGACGGATTGGAAGGGCACACATTGTTAGGGTCACAGCGCTTTTCCATGCGAAATTTGCTACTAACGCCTTTTGGATCCCAACTTAAATAACAGTGTGACATATTTTCGTTCAAACTGCGGAGTTCGACGTTCTCTAGCGCAAGTGGCATTTTGCAGCGAAACAAACTCGGGTTATCGTACATGGCGCGCACGATTTCGTTGTCCCTCATAAACATTTTGCATCCCAGATCTAGAGATGCTTTCTTTCGGCACGTTTCGACATTTATCGCCTGATCAAAGATCCAGGTTATGTTGCAGTCACAATGGAAAGGGTTGCCGGCAATGATAGGCTTATATGACACAACCTTTCCTTCAAACCCGAGATCGCACATAGACAGTGTCTTAATATCATTGAAGGAAACGTCCACAATTTTTAAGCTGGGCAAGAAAGATATCACAGGGAAGAGGTTGACGCAGAAGAGCTTATTGTGTGACAAATCCAAAAATCCTAACCGTGGCATATTTTTCAGACATGTCCATGGAAAGTAAGATATGGAGTTGTTTCGGAGGCTCAACCAGCGCAGATAGGGCAAGAACAGGCAGGGACATGAGGTCAGAGCATTATTGGGTAGATGGAGATTGAAGAGATTTTGGGGCAGTTGTTTGGGAACGTTCGTCAGCCCTTTGTTGTCACATTTTATCCGCGGTAACTGAGAGTTCCAGATATAAAAATAATCAACATAACAACCTTTCGAGCGCAGTTGTGAAAGTACCGATGCTTCGCAACTGTACGGTACTTTTAGAACCAAAACCAGAACAACTATCATGCTGAAAAATTTGCCTTTGCACCGCATGTTTGCCGCCTTCTCGGTTGTCTTCGCCACCCCTTTTCTCTGTCTACGGGCCAGAGGTATCAGATCTTTGTCACAAACAGCCTTCCTCTCGTCTGCTAGAAATTGAAAACAATATTTTAGAATTAGCAATAACTAGGCATTACGCTGCAGATGCGTCTTTTTTTCAATTGTCGTATCTGATAAAAGCTCTGTTAAATCATTATAGTATTAAGTTATGTAATGGCAGTTGAGTTCTCCTCTATATGTTGAATGTATGTTGCCGTCCACTGCAACATAGCTGTCCATGCCATATTTCTTTGGTTCTGTGCATGAAAATTGATGACGAACGTACAAGCTAAACCCACGAAAAAAAACATCTAAACGTGAATAATATCTAATCATGCCAGAACTAGAAGCAAGAATGGTTTAAATTCATGGACAGGAATGTTTAGAACCGACACATACCTTTACAAAGCACAGCTGCGACTATGTCTGGGAGAATGCGTGGCTTCTGCTGTAACATTTCACCTGTGAAGGCGCAGGAAAATGAGAAAGCTTGATTGTCTGCTTCTCTGTTGGATAGTTGATGAGAAAGTGGGCGTTTGATCAGTTGTGTAACTATGATGTTCACGTTCACTATCTGTACTTTCAGCATTGGCTGCTGACATGAATGGATAAATGAATGTTTAATGCCCGTTTTCGTCTGCAAAATACTAGTAACTATTCTTTTACATTTTACAGACAAAATATATTTTCGCCTTTTTTGGTAAAACTAGGCGAGCGCAACATACAATGTGTGCACGCTAACAATCCAGATGTTTTCACACTTGCTTTAAACTCCAAAATTTCCCTCTCCTAACTTCTTCCCTTTAAGTACATACAAGTTTCTTCTGTTACGGAAATATACTACTTTTGGTGTAAACCAACTTCCTACAAATTTGAAGAACTCGGCTTACCTTAAGGAAGTTTGTAAGATTGTTTCTCAGATGTTAACTCTTGATCTTACTCCTGTCTAAGGCGGAGTGAGAAAAAAACAATTCGTCTGTCATAACATCACCCTAGCTAGTCATTTGATGAAAACTTCACCAATCTTACTACTGCATGCAGACTTAATATTGTCTCAAAAATTAGTCTTAGAACTTTTTTTCAATCTAGTGCGTGGGCGAAAGAACGAGAAAGACTTAAGACCCAAAACTTTAAAAGGTGACTGCAACTTACCATACGTTCCCTGAAACATCAGTAGTGCAAATACAATGCCGGTCAATCTTCCCACCCAAGTGCTGTCAACCTACTCTCATGCTCACCATTTCCCGATTGACCTGACATCATTCTGCCTGTCAATCTTCCCCCACCCATGTGCTGTCAACCTGGTCTGTCTAGACAGATACATGAACCCACTAATCTCCAAGCAGATCCCTCTCGGTGGCAAAAAGACAGTATCAAATTGGCCAGGCAGTATCCATTAGCCAGAGAAGGTTGCCAGCAACCAATGGGGGTAGCGACAAAAAAAAAAAACGGCCATATGTAAAAAGCTAACGATCATTCCCCCACAACCTCTGCTTGGAGAGTACAAACCCACATCACGGCCACCCAAAACAATACTCCCGAAACATAAAGATACACACACAGTTGGTTTGGTACATTTCAAGCATCTAATAAGAACGTCCATAGTATTATACATATAAGGCGATAGTAACTCTTCACAGGGTTGTAACAACAGAATGGAGACAGTGACTGTAGCCAAATTTCGCTACATACAGAAGAATCCAACAGTAGAAATCCACAAATCATTCACATATTACCTACTATTCCATATGAAATGAGATATGCTTCATTTTTCTTATTCTAATAGTTTGACAAGAAAAAGACGAACGGAAAGTACATAGTGCACTAATAACATCACATAGAATTGTATTTTTCATATTCCAAGTTTAATTCTGCTCTCAGAAACAAATGTATAATAATAACTTGAAGAAGCAGTTTTATTATTATTTCATCACAATTCTAATCACAGATCTTTACCCATTAAATTGTAAACTACATACTCATTCTTTAAATACTTAAATCCTTGCTACAAATACAATTCCCCTCAACAATATACTCAGTACATGTCTGGTGCAAAACTTGCTACAATCCAATGACTTCCCCGGTACCATTTTCCCATTATGTTGTCTATTTCAGAACCAAGTTTTTCCCCACCATAGGTTATGAAGTGCAAGCCAGCAGCTACTATAGTACTTACAACATCCTCTGAACTTAATTCTGTTTGGTTTTGGTTAAATGTGACTGTTCAAAGGAGGAAATGAGGGTCCTGGTTGAGTTTAAGTTTTTAAGAGAGAGATTTGGTTTCTCTACCCCAAAAACAACCCAGATGAATGTTTCGATAGCAAGAAACTGACAGGAAAAAGCAGTTTCTTTCATGGAGGAAGCTCTCTTCTTGTTCTTTGTTGAAAGTAGAGGATGGTTACCGTATGCACTCGAATAACAGCGCACCCAAAAATATTGTCTTTGCAGTCAAGAAGTGGATATGGGAGTTTATACACAGGTTTAGATCAAGGAGGTTTTCAAAACCTTGTTTAGATTCAACCCATGCCTGTTATACTAGCACTGCTGCGAAAGAGAAAATTCTTCCCCCAGTATTTCTGTAAATACATTTACTTTTGCAAAGGTTTTATTTTGCAGTATAAGGCAAAAAAAAGAGGTTTTCAAGGTGTTTCTTAAGTTTGCATATTGTACTGTGCAATTCAATAGTACAGTACAAATACAAAACATATGTTTGCGGTGTTTGTTATGATTTGGCCAAAAAGGGTTGCTGCAAAAATAACACTGCCGCGAATATTTCACGATTTACAGCAAGTGTTGGTCTGCATTTATTGGAGAAAAAAGGCCGCAAACGTTTCACAAATTTACAGTAAGTGTAAGTCTGCGTTTATTTGAGCAGATACGGTAAGCTGGCTGCTGCTGTAGGGGGTGGGGGAGTGAAGGATGGTGGGAAGAGTCTAACTGTACAGATCGTCGTCGCCCTCCTCATACAGGTTGTCTCCACCGGTGCCACCGCTGCCCTGGCTGCCGCTGGGGCCAGCCTGGCCGGGGAACCTGGGGGGAAGAAAGGGGAGAGTTCTTATCGTGTTGTGGCAGTATGTGAGTATATCTCAAAGGCTCAAACAAACAAGAAAGGCATAATGTTTACCATCATAGGTTAACTACTGCTCTGTTTATTCTTGAGCAGCCCCTCTGACCTGCAACTTGCTAAATGATGTGATCAAAGTAAACAAAGGCTCAAACAAACTAGGAAGGGATCATTTGCAAAGCAAATGTTTACCATTACATGGTCTCACTCGCACTCACTATCCAAGACTTGATTATTCTGCTGCTGGTGTCCCTGCCACAGGGGTTGGCAGCACTTGGCTAGTAGTACTGGTCTTCACTTCGCATCTCTAGGCAAACTATTGCTCTGTTTATTCTCAAACACATTCATGGTGACCAGCCCCTTCAACTATCCTGCCATTGCTACATAACTTTCCTACATTGCTACAGAGTGTCTACTACAGCACAAATGACTGTGGTGACAGCCATCCTGTTTAAAAGAAGAAACAGAGCAAAAACAATATGTTTACCTTTGCAGGGAGTCAACATAGCAAACCAACGCACCTGAAGTTTCCGCCGAAGCCTCTGCTCTGCTGCAGCGTCTGTGCGAACATCTCATACTTCCGGATGTCGTTATCCGACACCGATCTGCGCGCAAACTTCATCGACTCCTCAAAGTGGTCCCTGCGGATCTCCGGCACGGGGTCGTAATCGTCCTCCTAGCGAACGCAAACGGTATTGCATCAGAAACTGCTTGTGACACTTTAGATAATGCTTTATGCAGTGTTATACTGTCTCAAAGCAACATGATTTTTGTTGCTTAACATATTCTTCAAGAAGGAAATAATATTAAAAGAGAACAAAATACAGATATATACTGCTGTAAAAGTTTGCTGTATATCCAAGAAAAACATTGAAAGTTTGGAACATTTGGAAATTACTTCTTAAATTTGAAACAGCCCTGCTTTACATGTTGAGATTTGGGTTGTCCTTCCTAAAACCACTACACCTCAGTATAACAGATTTAACACTAGAAAAGCATACAGAGAATGCAAGCATACGCCAAAAAGTGTAAATGAAACCATAGATTGCTGTTACGGCCCTTCTCACCATGTCAAGATCTGGGTTGTCAACAATTGCTGTATCCTTGTAGCCTATTGCTATGCAGCTTGTACAAAACTGGTGTCACACCTTAAGGCAGTTATGCAAAACTAAACAAGAAGCCCAGCTCACCATGTCGAGATCTGGGTTGTCCTTCCTGGCCTTCTCGTTCCTGATCTCCTCTTCGATGGCTTCCCGGATCGCCAGTTTGCAGGCGCGCTGACAGATCTCCGTCAGATCTGCACCACTGAACCCATGGGTCACCTTAGCCAGGTAGCCCAGGTCAACATCCTACAGAGGAACAAACAAACAAACATAAATAAGAAGCCAAAACATGTCAGATCTTCGATGGCTTCCCGGATCGCCAGTTTGCAGGCGCGCTGACAGATCTCTGTCAGATCTGCACCACTGAACCCATGGGTCACCTTAGCCAGGTAGCCCAGGTCAACATCCTACAGAGGAATAAACAAACAAATAAATAAATAAGAGCCAGTTTGCAGGCGCGCTGACAGATCTCCGTCAGATCTGCACCGCTGAACCCATGGGTCACCTTAGCCAGGTAGCCCAGGTCAACATCCTACAGAGGAATAAACAAACAAATATATAAATAAATAAGAGCCAGTTTGCAGGCACGCTGACAGATCTCCGTCAGATCTGCACCACTGAACCCATGGGTCACCTTAGCCAGGTAACCCAGGTCAACATCCTACAGAGGAACAAACAAATAAATAAATAAATAAGAGCCAGTTTGCAGGCGCGCTGACAGATCTCCGTCAGATCTGCACCACTGAACCCATGGGGCACCTTAGCCAGGTAACCCAGGTCAACATCCTACAGAGGAATAAACAAACAAACAAATAAATATGAGCCCAAACAGGGCAGATCTCAGTCAGATCTGCACCGCTGAACCCACGGGTAACCTTAGCAAGGTAACCCAGGTCAACATCCTAGGGACAAGTTCATAGACGAATGAATTCTGAAGCAGCTTAGGGTGGAGAGATGTTATACAGTAAACCTAGATAAGCCTGATTTCTACTAAATTCTAGCCTGCAAAATTGCAAGTTAACTTTTTCTGCAATCTCAGAACTTTTTCTGTCAGCAAATTGCAGGACTGAGGTGAGAATTTTCAGTCATGAAAACTCTTAGTCGTCTTTGATACAGGCATTAATCATTTCTTTTGGCCAAGGCCAACTTACAACAAAACTTGAAGAGTCTCTTTTCCAATCTTGAATGCTCAAGTTTTGAGCCAAGACCTGAAAATTGGCAAACTTTTACCTTTTCGATTTCAGATTGATTTCTGATGAAACCGGTAAACAGTCTCAGCCGTCATCTTTCTGACAAATCTTTGACTATTTTTACCTTTAGAGATCATACCCCATTCATAGATACAAACATGCTGCTCCTTACCTTAGCGACGGGTGACTTGCGGAGGTTGGCCTTGAGGATAGAGATGCGCGAGGGCTCGTCGGGAAGAGGGATGTAGATCAGCTGGTCCAGACGGCCCGGGCGCAGGATGGCCGGGTCGATGATGTCCGGACGGTTCGTCGCGCCGATGATAAACACGTTCTTCTTGTCCGTCATGCCGTCCATTTCAGTCAGGACCTGGTTAATCACACGGTCTGCTGCGCCACCTAGTAGGTTCAGAGGGAAATGCAGGTTGGTCATGGACCAAAACAGGTATATCCAGAACTAGTTCTATGCCTGGATGGGTTAGGGTTAGGATCAGGCACAGGTAGATTCCACGTATTCAAGAACATAGATTTGCTCCAGGCAAAGGTTTGGATACTATCCAGAACTGTTCCTGAGCATAGTCTTGGGTAAAGCATGATTTTGAATACAAGCTGACAGTCTTTGGTAATACCTAATTGTTTCCCTGCCACACTTATATCTAGGTATTAGTTGTTGATAGTATTCTTAATATATTGGCACAAAACTGTTGTCTGAGGCAAGTCCAGGAAGGGTAATACACACCTCCGTCTCCCACATTGCCGCCTCGAGACTTGGCGATGGAATCCAACTCATCAAAGAATAGAACACAGGGAGCTGCCTGTCTGGCCTGGAAGGAAAAAAACAACATTGCTCAACACTTTTGATTCTCAAAAACAACACCCTGGTATATTATAGATCATTGTATTACTATGATAAGCAACTATGTTTTTCATATGATCAAAATGTAATGCCAGGGTTGTTGAAGGACTACTGAAGGGAGGTACATATTGACATATTGTAGAAAACATTTTATGATTGATTTGTAATTTGGCAAATTAAACAGATACAACTTAGTATGTCAATCAAACATTGCCAGAAAACATAAGATAGTATTTTGAGCCATTCCCTAGCTGTAATGTATGATTACAATAAACCATTCATTCAAGTGCAAATTCATTCATGAAAAAGAACCCAAGGAGTGCCCCACCTTGTCGAACACATCCCTGACGTTGGCCTCCGACTCTCCAAACCACATGGTGAGCAGCTCGGGCCCCTTGATGGAGATGAAGTTGGCCTGGCACTCGTTGGCGATGGCCTTGGCCAGCAGGGTCTTACCGCAGCCAGGAGGTCCGTAGAACAGAACGCCTCGCGACGGAGTCATGCCAAACTTCAGGAACTTGTCGGGATGCTCCACGGGGTACTGGAAACAGGAAACATTTGTAATTAGAAAAGTTCTCTTCAGGAAATAGGAACAGGAAATAGGAACAAGTAATAATTTCACTAAGTCCAGTATTGTTTCAGAGGGACCTGTGGAAGCCAAAGCAAAGATGTCACACTAATCAATGTACAACACTAGTAACAGTACTGTAACACAAAGTTGAATGTCAACAAGATTGCTTTGCTTGTTTGTGAACGTTGTCCTAAAAAGCTACATGTTTACTCTAGATTTCAGGTCCTATCCTAAGTTAAATGTGGTTGAATTTGGGCCTCCATGGTAGCTCTCTTAACCATGCAAATCTTGAGAATGCTATGTCCATTTAACAGAAATTTAACAGATATCACCCACTTGAGCAGAATCTCTTTTGAAGTAAATCTATCCTTTCATTTAAGTTATGACTGCAAACAACATAAATCCATGGGACTGACCTGCACGAGTTCTTGCAGCTCCTTCTTGACGTTGTCCAGCCCGCCGACGTCCTCCCATGTCGTGTTGGGAACCTCCACCACCGTCTCTCGCAGGGCGCTGGGGTTGCTCTGGCCCAGGGCATACTGCAGGAAAGACAGGACAAATTAAATATTAGTACACTAAAGTTGCCATTAGACTACTAATCCTCTATTGCAGTACTGGTTACAGAGTTAAGCAGGAAGGAGAAGGTTTATGGTAGAGTGTCTAAATCTCTGAGGTTGCTCTGGCCTACAGCATACTGTTCAACAGATACCACAAATTAATCACTATTAACAGTGTCACTGAAGTAGCATAGCACGTCAGCAGAACGTTTCGTTCAAGGTTGTATTCGTGTAGTTAAGGATGACATTCTGTCTATAGTTTTGGAATGTTGTGTCAGAAAAGGTATTGTCTGCAACAGCAAATTTCTGAGGCAACGTTGACCAAACATCCAATGAAAACCATTAAAAATAGAAAAAAGATTTTGTGCAGGCCCAGTATATTTTGTGATGATACTTTAATTTAACCTTACCCTGAAGTTCTCCATGGTAACAGCCAGAGAGTCCAGGACCTCAGCGTCGATGTTCTCATCCTCCAGGTCGATCAGGTCCATCTTCTCTCTGATCTGCTGCAGGGCGGCTTCAGAGCACAGGGCAGCCAGGTCAGAACCTACGTGGCCATGGGTCTCAGACGCAACCTGGGGCAAAAACACACACACGAGTCAGCACATAAACACACATACATGTACACATGTCACTGAGCACAGGGCAGCCAGGTCAGAACCTACGTGGCCATGGGTCTCAGACGCAACCTGGGAAAGAATCACAAAATATCTTTACAACTGTGACACCAGTAGGGTTCTCAGTGCAGTTGAGTGTAGGGGGTCCCTATGCTGTGTTTTTGCCCCCTAAACTGTTTCAATCAGTGTAAGGGCATTTTGTGTTGGTGACAGATTTTAAAAAAATGTCTCTTAGCTTCTAAAGTAGAGCTATAACAAAGATATAAACTCTACATGGTGTTTCAGAGGGATGCCCTACAATACTCACACCTCATCATGCGGCTTTACTGTACTAGGTCCCAACTACGCTGTGAAAAAAATCATTGTGAGAACCCTGACAATTAAGAATCTTATCCCTTAAAGCTTCATCCTGTTCTAATCTTCTTTATTTACAAAAACAGGGCTGCACAGAAACGTGATTTAGCAAGAAGCCAACCCACCTTGTGTGACACTATAGGATATTTTTAATGGACAGAATAGCAACTAACCAACACAGAACGTACTTGTCACAAATCCAGAGAAGAAGAACTGACCTGTTCGAGGTCCACATCATCGGCCAGCTTCATGTTCTTGGTGTGGATCTGCAGAATCTCCAGTCGGCCGGTGGCGTCCGGGATCCCGATGTCAACCTCACGGTCAAAACGCCCTGGACAACAAAGAAAAAATAATATTTTAGAGAACTTTTGTGTTAAGTTTTGTGTCATGTTAAAGCTATAGCCCTATGGCCAAGTGGGCTGAATGTAAATGCTTTTTTTGTAGCTGATTGTGCAATGTTGTTTCAGCACAGATTGTACCTACAGTCAAGCACGCAGGAACTATTAGTACAGAGACACCCTATCAAATGTCCCATGCTCATATGTTCATATGTTCACTGCTATTACTTGAGCAATAACACCAAGAAGTGATAAAGTCATGGTAACAGCAGAGTCTTTCTTTCCCTCCACATAAATGCAGCAAATGGTGCAGTTCCCAAGTGCTGGGTAAGGAATGGAGGGGACATAACTTTTAGACTAGTACAATGAACAGTGGACCACAGCTTAACACTCGTCCTAAGACTACAACACTTTACAGAAGCTTGCATGTCGGGTGACCAAAAACAGCAAGGATTTGAACTCCTAACCTCTTGGTCCAGAAGCTAAATCAACCAAGGCAAGGATTCAGATGTTCAATAACTTATTCTTTCCTAGAACTATCGCAGAGTGGAACTCTCTGTCACCAAGTACAGTAGGGGCATTATCATTAGATAGCTTTAAACAATTTTTCGAGTTAGATATTCAAAGGTTAGGCGTAACAAAACGCCACGTGCCTGTGAAGCTGGTATGTTACTCTGATGGGCGGTTATACTGGCTATAGAGATACAGAATCTATTGCTCACCGAAGCGCCTGAGCGCAGCATCGATGGAGTTGGGTCTGTTAGTGGCTGCCATGATGACCACGTGAGCGCGCTGCTTCTACCATGTACAGTATCTACAGGTTCATTGTACCAGGGAAACCCCCTGACTATACACATTACATACAGGACATTAAGGGCAGGGTTGCTCACCGAAGCGCCTGAGTGCAGCGTCGATGGAGTTGGGTCTGTTAGTGGCTGCCATGACGACCACGTGAGCGCGCTGCTTCAGTCCGTCCATCAGGGTCAGCAGCTGGGACACGATTCGGCGCTCAACCTCTCCGTGGGTCTGCGGAGAAAGATGTTCTGATTAATTTCTGCTCAGTGGCTTTAAGTTCTCTCTTTTACCATCTTTTGCCTTTACCTGGCTCTACAAATAGCTTCACACTTCAGCTATTCTTCCTGTGGTCCTCACATTGATATATAAAACCACCTAAGAGACACAGTGGCCACAAAATAACAGTCATACATGATACATTACAATAGTCATAATCAAAATACAGAAACCTAAGGAATCCAAGACAATTCATAGCCTGGGAATTGGAAGACTTGAAAATATTTCTTACAAATGTTACTAATACTAGTCAAACTTTCTTCATACCAGCTAATTTAATCACAGCAGGGAGAGTTTTCCATGTGTTACCTTATCCTGGCTATGGAAGGAAAAAGTCATAGCCTTATGTCTTCTTAAAGATGAAGACGATAAGTAAGTTAGTCAGTACCTTGTCTCTCTTAGGAGCGATGGCGTCAATCTCATCGATGAAGATGATCGCCGGGGCGTTTTTCTCAGCCTCCTCAAAAGCTTTGCGCAGGTTACTCTCACTAATAAATATCTACTTGTTTATGTATGTCTTCTTGTGCTTTTGTAATAAGAGGAAACATTACCAACCTTATCTCTCTTAGGAGCGATGGCATCAATCTCATCAATAAAGATGATCGCCGGAGCGTTCTTCTCAGCCTCCTCGAAAGCCTTGCGCAGGTTACTCTCCGACTCTCCAGCGAGTTTGCTCATGATCTCTGGACCGTTGATGAGGAAGAAGAAAGCTCCCGTCTCATTGGCCACGGCTCGGGCAATCAGAGTCTTCCCCACACCGGGCGGGCCGTACAGGAGGATTCCACGGGGAGGCTGGGGAGGGAGGGTTTGTTAAAAAAATTGTTTAACCTTCTTGCTGCTGTTGAATCTCTCATAGACAATACAAAATGGCTAACCTAGCATGCTAAAGGTTTAAAAAAATGTCTTCAAGAATAGACCTACACCACTCTTCGAAGAATATCTGGATTGAGTTTCCTGACTCTACTGGTATTACTCTGAAGATATTTGGGCTTTTTACAACAGTAAGTGATACAAATGCACTATGAAACTGCTAGCCTTTGTCTTCCTATAGCTCATTAATGAATGTACAGAAATGTTCTTTAAACTTCATTTAACAAAAGTTACAGAGATGCTCTGTTCTAATGTCAACAAGATCTTAAAAATCCTCAGTGTCTTTCCAACACTTTACCAACAAGTTTTCCTATCTTACTTCTCTTATTTTGGTGCACATGCACCCAGTATTTTGAGCCCTGCTTTCTCCACCTCACCTTGACTCCGATAGCCTTGAAGAGTGCAGGGTGTCTGAGGGGGAGCTCCACCATCTCCTTGATCTGAGCCAGCTGTTTACGGACTCCCCCAATGTCGTCATAACCAACCTCATTCAGAGCCTCTTCCTCATCCTAGGGGCAGAAAAAGGTTTCATGTCACGAAACTCAATCTTGAGTTATGTAAGAAAGGGTCTTGTACTTGTAGGAGACCAGTGTTAGCGGCAAGCATGTTAAATGGCATTTCAGCAATGCTGATCAATTTGTGACCAGACACTTGTCTAAATTTATGTCTGATGGCCAGAATTAAAAGGCAACTGCAACATATTCTCTGTTAGTTTTATGCAGGGCCTACAGTATTTCTGTGTTAGCCATGTGTTTGAAGAAAAGATGGAGCAGAGATGCTTATTGACTTTCTGAGACTCTTTAGATTTGCTAAAAATGTGGTTTCTTCAGCTTTTGAAATTTGAAATATAAAAAATGACATTTCCTTGTGTTTTGATGATGAACCACTATTCAATACTATGGCATTGGATGCTCAACTCTTGTACAAACCACCGTTTAAACAACCCCCCCCCCTGCCCCTGATGGTATGAGCTGCCCTACCTCTCTCTTGATGGGCTCTCCCTCACAGTGGATGACAGCGTCAAACCACATTACAACCCCCCCCCCATGTCTAATGGTACAACCTGCCCTACCTCTCTCTTGATGGGCTCTCCCTCACAGTGGATGACGGTGTCGGGAGCCACGATACAGTACGGGGACGGGTCCGTCTCCACAACCTTGAAGTCCACAGGTCGCATGGCCGCACGGACCAGGAATGTATCACCTAGGAACCAGAGAGGGGAGTCAGTTTGTGTCCTTCTCATATTGAGAATCTTCAAAAACTTTACTTTCAAGAACTATCGTAGAGTGGAACTTGTTGCCACCAAACACAGTTGGGGCATCATCACTAGAAAGCTTTAAACAACTCCTGCAATTAAAAGTGCAAAGATTGGGTGTAACAGGTTGTTAGGTACAATGTAGCTGGCTGTTGCCGAGCCACATGCCTGGAAAGCTGGTGTGTTATGCTGAAGGGCAGTTATACTGGCTATACAGATACAGTTTGGGTCCTTAGTTCAACCCAAGGGAGTGGTGTGTTGTTTTTGGTTTTTATGCCTGTCCATCTGTAAATATCTGTTTCTCTGTCTGTTTGTACTTCCATCATGGTTCAAATTATCAAAGGAGCAAGCTTCCCTGTTAAGTATAATATCTCCAGTCAATCCTAAATTGACAACATAAAATAAATCAAAAGGAAACTCAAATTATGCTTTTTTCAAGTTTCTAATTAAATGTTAGATCCTTACCTTTGTGCACAGGTCTGTAAGCCTCTAGGAAGTAGGGCTTCAGGTACACTTCAAACAGGTTCCTGCACAGAAAATACATGGATCATGAGTTGGATGATAGTATACTATTGATAAAAAGGTGGCACACATCCCTGCTGACATTTGAGCATTTTGAGCCCATTTCCTGGGAGATAATCTTACTTAAAATTTAAAACATGAGGAAAAATATTCAGCTGAAAAATTTATTTTGGCAATCAGTATGATGGAGGTGGGGGGAGCATCATTGTTTCATCCTTAGGGTCATTATTGTATGTGTATGTTCTCTGCTGCTACTTTAGCCATCACGCTGTGAGGCGTCATCACCATAGTAACAGCAGAGTTTCCATTTTCCTCCACATAAATGCAGCAAATGGTGCAGTTCCCAAGTGCTGGGTAAGGAATGGAGGGGACATAACATGTACTAAAAGCTGTCTGTATAAATTGGAAAGAAATAGAAAGCATGTTTGAATTGAGAAACCACTAATATGGAAAGACAAGCAAATCAGCTACAGTTACTCCTATTTCCCTCAAACAGTCACTCAGGGATTGGAACAGGCTTCCTCAGGTCATAACAGAAATCTCAGAGCCTTACACCTTCAAGGAAGCTGTATTCTTGCACCTGAGGAAACAATATTAGGGTGCAGCGCACTCCCCCGTGTGTCTTACCCTAACAGAGGGATGTTGCACAGTAACTTTTCCAGAACAAGAACAACTTACCCTGTAATACCCTCCACGGAGTCATCAATAGGCAGGACGTGGATCCTCTTGCCGTACTTGACGTCGGGACAGGCCTGTACGCTCCCAAGTTCAACTTCGACTCTCCTACACAAATTTTCATGCTTTTGTTTTTCACATTTTTATGACAACAGAATAAAGAGACAACTTACCCAGTGATGCCCTCCACAGAGTCATCAATAGGCAGCACATGGATCCTCTTTCCGTACTTGACATCAGGACAGGCCTGTACGCTGACCACGTCTCCCAGACGCACACGCAGGTTGTTCCTCACCTGGAAATAATGTGTGTAGTTCATAATATATGTAACAATACTACAGGAAGGGTAGTGGTTGTGTTGTCATTAATTGGAGGCAGGCTTTTAGCTAGGAATTTTTTGTTGGGTGTCAAATTTTTTAACTGTATGCTATGCACAGCGAAGCCTAGACCCTGGGGAAGAACACCAAAGAGGTGGAAAGACCAGATTCAGAGTGGCACAGGGCTTACCCTAAGGGAAGCAGAGACTATTGCCCTTGATAGAGCTGGCTGGAGGAACTTGATGGAGGGGAGCAAGGGGCCAGTACCTGGCCTGCGCATATACATGTAGGCAGGCAGGTAGGCACAGCAAGGCCGGCAGTGAGAGGCGCAAGCACAAGGGGGGGCTTTTTGAAATTCGTAATGCTCTCCAACACTACTTCCTGCATTTTGAGGTGCAAATTTTGAGGAATACAGACTGCAGCCAAGTTTTATTAAATAAACAAACAAACAAACAAACAAACAAACTCACCACGCGATTGATGCGGATCTTCTCCTTGGGGCAGGTGTCGTCGGACAGCACGATGCAGACCGTCTCCCGACGCTTCTTACCCTTCAGCAGAACCGTGTCTCCTCGGAACAGCTGCAACTCGTCCATCTTAGCCTGGTTTGGTTCAACGTGGAAAAAGAATGTTTTCTTCCATGTGCTAAGTAAATGGTATGGCATACCCAATAAAAAGACTCTTTCTGTGACTTGATGAAACTCTTCATGTATATGGCATATCATTAGAATCATCACTGTGATTCTCTGTAATGTTACAAACAATTAAACAAACTTTTGTGATTTTCATCAGGTAGGTAGATCAATGTATCCTGGGTTTTTAGCTACACAACCAGTCATTTTCAAAACCTTTCACCACACACTTCAAATCAAATTTGAGTGGTGTTACTACAGTTGTTTCATCTACAAAGTCCTTAACATATAAAGTCCTCATAAACTGAAACAATCTACAGCAGCACAGAACAAGACAAGGCAAGGCATGTTTACCTGTGAAAGAGAGACGACACTGTTGTCTTCATTCACTGCCTCCTCCACCAGCAGACGGTTGGGCTTAGACTTCTGTTTCAGGATGGCTGTCGACAGCTCATCTTGGCTGGAGAGGGGACAAGATAATTGTAATGTTTCAAGTTAAAACTTTGGGTCCAACACAGGCGCACGCACCTGGACGGACCAGCTGTCCACCGACATCCAGGACTGGACATCACTACCGCCTGGGTGGCAGCCAGAGACAGACAGACCTGGAGGACCAGATGCTGAGGCACTATGCCCCCCAGGGCATGCGGAGCTGAGTGAGTGAGCCCAACACAAAGAATTGTTCTCACCTAGAGCAGGGGTCTCCTTGACAAAATTTTTTTTGGAGAAGTGCTCTCTCTGTTTTTTGTGGGCATGCAGCCATTCTTTGTGTTGGAGCCAAAGCTTGAACTTTAAACATGTAACTACTGACACAGAATTATGAACTTTGATGACAAATAAGTCAGCTATCTTGTGATGCAAACTTTAAAGAGTCTGACCTGTTAGATACAGGACAGACTAGACTAGTATGGATGGCCTAGATGCCACACTGTTCCTTCCTAGGGCCAATACAGAGGTCAGTCTCCAGTTACACCTGTTCTTCAGGGTCTGTGGCAAAATTTCCTTCGGGACAAGTTGGCCCTGGAGCTGAGGAGCTAGCCTGTATACTGGTCCTGCGAACAGTCTGGCATCCAGGCTACCCCTGGAGCCAAGGAGCTAGCCTGTATACCTGCCCTGGCAACAGTCTGACTAGGGCTGGCTTTATCAAAATTGCAACAAACTCAAAGGAGCACTAGGCGGTAGATTTAGCTGAAGTTGTGCTCCACACATTATAAAAACACGCTGCAATAGACTTGAGCCCCAACAGTTTACACTAGAGAAATTTATTGGGTGATTTTTTAACTGCAACTTCCCTGCTTACAAAAACACCTTGTCCCTCAGGTGTTTGTCCTTGTTTCTGTATAATTACACCAGTTTTTGGACCAAGGCAAGACTACTTTATTTTTCACTTTTCCAACAAGGACGTTTTTGTCACCTTCAATCTTTTGAGAAAGTGTTGTGTCATGATAGTTGGTATGTTTTGATGTATTTTTCTACATCATACTTGTTAATTAAATGAATCTTATTTGTCCAGTGTTTTAACTTGCTTGAAGACACACAAAATCATTCATTCATTGGGTTCTACTTCTACATGACAATTTTTACACAAGATTTCACCATTTTCTGGGGAAAGGAAAATCTGGATGACACAGATTTCTTTGGGCCACTTCACTCTACCAATGGAACGCTGCCGAATCAGCTGATACATGACGTCATACCAACATGTAAGACCGGATATGGACGAAGATGTCAATGACGAATGAAAACAAAAGAAGACGCTATCATTTCTGAGAACAAGAAACAATTTTCCTTCAAAAGTTACCTTGTCGTTTAATTCCTACCAAAATCCATGAGTGTAAGCATATATTTTGGCTACAAGGGAAAATACCCTTGTCATGATTGCATAACTTGGTTTCGGTTTTTGTGCCACGTTCTTTTTGATGGACAGAACAAAAGGATCTATCGGTCAAGTTGGCTTCCGTTTTCTTTGAAATGCTAAGGAAGCCCTTTGTCGCTTCAGAAAATGTCGCTTTAACCTGACAGAGACTTATTTTGGTCAGCAAAGGGGCATTTGGGTCGTCTGCTAGCCAAAACACACAACCTGACGCGATCGGGAAGAATATCGTCTGATCCAAGATGGCGCTGACCAAAAATTGAACCGTCACCACACGACTCACAAAGGACGACCGTTTTCTACCGTTTTTGCCTCAGAAATTTGAAATCTTCACTTGAGAATATGATTCTGGATATCCATTCTAGACGAAACCTTTTACGTTGTCGACAAAATCCAACGATTTTGCCGAAAAAAACACTCGAATGTACGCAACGGGCGACGAATCTAAACACATGTTCGGCAGTTCAGTTCATAATGAACTGACCAACAAAAACGGCGAAACACTAGCCAACTGACCGAGATCCGCTGACCTACATTCTTCATATTGTCCTAAATATGTACAGATGATCATACGGCTCATACCTTGGTTGTGGTCCTGCCATTTTATAGCTTTTTATGTCCTCTTCTCTCAAAAGTTTCGGTTGAAATCTGCCCGGCTACGCACTACAAAACTCAATATGGCTGCCGGTATATGCAAATTAGCTAGTCTCGTCCATTGAATGATGGTGGATGATCAAAAAGTATGTTTACTTCGAACTGTTTTTATTTTAGCTTAAAAGGAATATATTGATATAAAATTTTAAAAACTTCTCCAGTAAAGGTTTATTAAAGTAAAACTCATAGGTTAAATTGTTCAATTTATTATTCAACACACTTCTTTTACTTGCTCAATAAAAAGTTTACCCCCATTACGGAAAAGTGTTACAGTCCATACATTACACGTGTCTTCGGAACTTCCCGAATATTACCGAACAGTCTCGACCAAGTCGAGGATGACGTCATCCCGTTAAAAATATAACTTGTTGTCAATAGTTGAAAACACCCTGTTTTCTGGTGACGTCACACGCTTATTAGTCATGAGACTGAACTACTACGTCTATTGACTTGTTTTTCTAAACTTTTTTTCCAGATATATTAATAATACTAGTACAAATGTACCTTAATTTCATTTATAGCCTAAACCATGCCTTTTGTTTCAAGGAGCTTTTGGTCTACGATGATAAGTTACAGAATAGAAAACAGAAAACAAGTTGAATTGACTTAAGAAATTCAACTAGAGTGATTGTTATTTTTCCATTGACAATGTGACAATGTTTCTTTACTTTCAACTTCTTAAATCCGTTGTTTCTTCTTCATTTCTCTATTTTCTTCCCTTTCTCCCCCTTAATGAACGTTCTTTTCTTTAAATCATTAATGCATTGCTCTTTCTGCTTCTATTTCCTTTCATTCCGTCTTTAACTTTTGTCTTTCATATTTATTCCCTAAAAGCAAAGCAGAGAAAACGTTAGGAAAGATTTTTTTCGGTGACGTTTTCAAGAATAAGAATCAAAACAAACACCATGTGCTTTTGGAAGCTGCCAAAAGCCAAAGAAACCCGCAAAACATAAACACATTAATATTTTTCTGCTGCGTAACTCTGCTAAGGATCCCCCCTCTGTTCACTGATGGAATAGTCCATTGATGAATGGTCACATGATCCAAGATGGCGGGCATCAAAGGTTTGGCGATGGTTTTTCTTGTTCTTCATCAATAATTTTCGATCTTTGCGCTTTGTTTTCCTCAATCACCGATTGCAAAGCAATATGGCATAGTTTACAATCTAAACACTATTCAGAACTACTGTCTTCTTTGTAAATCAAGGCTAGATGAAACTACGGATTCAGTAAACCGGAAGTAAATTTTTGATATTTCAGCATAGCATTCACGTCAGATTTGCAGCGTTTTGTGATCAATTTTGTGCCAAATGCACCCCCCAAATATCGCTGAACACGTCTGAAGTGTAGTACACTACTGTGTAACAGCAAAAGAAAAAGAATAATATGTGCCTGTTTAAATTTTCAAACAGAAAAATAATATTTACATTTTTATGACTCACGTGTATGTAATTATACTAGTGACAGATTGTCACATGTCTTCAGCCGATGCCAAAATTTTCTTCATTTTTTTCACGCCTGTGTCTTCCCTACATTTCTCCTGGTTCCAAATGAATAGCTTGAAATGTAATTTGGGTTCCTATGATCTGAATGGTTTTCCGTTGATTGTATTGTATGTAACACAATCGCATATTGGCAGCTGTGAGGTCGATAACAATCAAATCAGGCCGGCAGCACAGAGTGATTGGAAACATGGCGCAGATTTATTTCTGTGTAATACCATCAACTAGATTTGAGGTCAGGTCGCATTGGAAGACAAAATATGTCATTTTCATAACATGGATGCCTTTTGTATTGTAATTAGGATCTTAAGAGCAATTTATTTTTAGAAATTAGGACATTTCTTACCTAATTAAATGTGATGATATTAACTGAATGTTTGTATCGCTTTTTTCTCGTGTCCACCACATCTGCAACAACAACAGCGTGAGTGCAATTTCTCTTACAATATACTAGTAGTTAAATTTGGTTGCTTCAGCCCGAATGTATTTTTAGTGCCAAATAAAGCATATGAAGTTATATTGATACATGTAATAAAGAATAATAGAACAATTGTCAATTCTACACATATCAGTCTTGGAGAAAAACATTTATGAATTTACTACAATGCACCTGAAGCTTGTGATCTCTCTTGTTCAATTGTATTCTTGCTATTTGCTAACCCATTGATGTTTCCTTACAGTTTGATCGGTTTGGCTTTCTTTGGTGCCATCGGGATGACATTTGTGGTCCTGGCCTGTGCACTACCGCAGTTCAAGTAAGTCAGATAATTTTCCCACAAAAGCCAGGTGGTCCTTATGTACTTAGCACTTTAGCAGTGATTAACAGTACAGGTCAGCAGTATCATGTGGTCAATATCTTGAAAGTTCATCTGTATTGCTAGAAGTCATTATGAACAAGATTGAACTGTAATTGCGAAAATTGGATTGCTCATTCCTTGACAAAGACTGGAGTTGTACAGTCAAAAATTTGGGTGAGTCCAATTTTTTGTCTTGGCCATTACAGTTCAATCTTGTTCATCACTTGGTCAGTAGCCTTCTTATACTGAAATGACTTTGTTTCCTGCAGTCTGTGGTGGCCGTTCTTTGTGGTGATGTTCTACATCCTGGCACCGATTCCGTGGTGCATCTCTCGGCGTTACATGGAGGAAATGTCTGACTCGGCCAGCAGCGCCTGTACGGAACTGAGCATCTTCCTGACTACGGGGATTGTCGTGTCAGCATTTGGGCTGCCGATCGTGCTGGCAAGAGCAGGAGTAGTAAGTTATTGATCCCTTTCAATGATCACTCAGTAATAATCTGTACTAGCGGTAACTGTGCTTTAACTTTTTGCTTCCATGGTTCTCAGTATCATTCTGATTACCACAGGCATCCGATTGGACTGGTAAAAGTGGGAGTAGTGAGTCTTTTTTTTTTAACAACATCAAAATACCACCTCTGGGCACTGAACTATACATATGACTCCATGTAGGTATAGTTAGACTATGCTATGATGGCAGTTAACATTGTACTCAAAGGCATTACCCCAGGTATTGTGGCTCTGCCTTTAGGCTACCCATTGTACTGGCAATTCTATGCTAGATGATTGCAGTGCATGTTGGATTGATTATTGTAGTGAGATATGTGTATTGCATGTGTGTATTATGTTGCTATGGCTCAATGTACCTGAAATAAAGACATACTGTTCAATTCCTCTTCCAGATACAAGGTGCGGCCTGCGGTCTAACGGTAGCAGGTAATGTTGTCGTCTTCATCACCATCCTGGCATACTTCATCGTCTTCACAAGAGAAGACGACTTCGCTTTCTCGGGCTTCTGAGACAAGAAAACGCTTCTAACAATCGGATTATCCCACCGGTAATTCAACAACCCCACAGCAAACTATCCTGATGAGCTTCACATCCCTGTTTTTGGTAGTCTGGTATCCAGTTTTATCGTGGTTGGGGCATAGTAGTTGGAACAGGCTGTGTTTTCGGGGCTTTAATAGTTTCCCCCCACCCAGTACCAACAGGCCACCCCGGTAGGAGTGTTACACTAATAGAGATGGCACACTGGGGAGTATATATACATTTTGTTCATGGTGGGGCTAATCAATCTCCCATCGTGAAATACCTACCGGGAAACCTAGCTGAGGCAGATGGGGGAGAGCTCCTGCAGCCCCGAGGAAAATCTACCCCAACCACGAGAAGACTGGATACCAGGCTATGTTTTTGGATGGTACAGCCATAAACCTATTGTATAACAGTCTGTTGTAGGCCAGCCTATTCATATTCTGGGTAATATCAATCAATGAAGAACTTTTGTAGGCAAACAATGTTTTGTTGTGAACATGGGCACCCTATAACTTATAAGTATAAGCTTCTGTTGCTGATAGAAACTTTTAATTCTTGACCCAATGAACACCTACAACTATACAACTCTGTCCTTTTCATTTTCTACCCTCTTCACAATTTATATATATATTGAAAATGTTGCCCAGATCTAGACTTCCACCCCTTTGAACTTTTCAAAATGGAATAACCCTTGGTAGATCCTTTTGAGACTTGTACCATTGCATAGATGCAGTGCACTGCACAGCCATTGTTTAGATGTTTATTTATCTAGATGTTAATTTTCTGTATAATGTAATATTGTAGAAATCATGTGCATTCCGCATATTTTGTGTTGACAAATGTGGTGGGAAATTTCAGTTTGTAATGATGATAATGTTCATTCATGCATTTTTTTTATTTTACAAATATTGCAATTTTCAGCAGTAACAATATCAGTTGAATTAAGTTGAACTAGAAAGGCCAATATTTGCTTTGGAGCAAATATAGCGATGGGTTCACCACATTTTACCACATGGCAGGGAAAGAATGAGAAACACAAGGGAAAACAATGCTTTACATTGATATAACTATAGTATGAAGTAACATACAACTAAGACTACAACAGTTGGATAGCTATTCCCTACATTATTGGTTAGGATTGCATAATGCAAACTGTTGATTTTCAAGATAAAAAGAAGCGTTCATAGCCCGCATTCCAATGCTGGAGCAGGAAAGCTTAAAATACCTACCAAAACACTTGAATACAGACATACTGTCAGTATGGCATGGCTCTGTGCAGGTGTAAATGAAGTTAAGCCAGTTAAATCCCAACAGCCAATCAGCAAGGAGAATAGAGGAAAGCTGCATGCCTATTGGTTGATGCCTTGCATGCCATTGTGATGACTCATGTCCAAATGTGGTAAACACTGCACACTTACACAGTAATACATTAGCTATTACACAGCCAAAAAACTCAAATAAAACCATTCTAAAAGCCTGTATCACAATAATTTAAAAAACGCCTAGGGGTATTTGCCCACTGTACCTCCATACCAAATTTCAGGACCTTAGGCCCTAAAATGAAGAAGCTGAATCCATTTAAAGATATGGCAGGAGGAGGAGGAGGAGGAGAAGAAGGAGAAGAAACATCAGAAAAAGCAATATGGTTTCACCACACCACTTCGTGGTGTGGTGAACCCATAATAAAGTCAAGCTAACAGTGTCAGAGTTGGGTGGTAAGAAACCCCAGTACTGGGTGGTAAGAAAAAATCTATGAACAACCATTGTAAAATATCTGAATGTGTGTTCTATCAATAGTATGTACAGAATCTGATATATACTCTGCCATTATACAGTAATAATAGATACATTTTGTACTTGCATGCTATTGCAACTGTTTAGAAAGCCTGTTAAGCTTGTTGTTGCCAAGGAAGTCTATTGCCATGGATTTTGTATTGGTTATAAGTTTAAACAGAAGGGAGAAGGTTGAGTAGGTATTTTTGGTTGAAGAAAGCCCACATAGTGGGGATGAGAAAGCTTACAGAAATGCATTGGTTTTTAAATTTTTGAGCCACTGTGTTTGAAAAACTATGTTTCAACCTATACTGCTACAGTAGTACATGTACTGGATAAAGACATGTGTAGTTATCAATATCATATCATTTAACAATGTTTTCTTTGGGATATTTCCTCTGTGATTATATGTCGTCTAAAATATGGACAAAAGAAAGCTAGAACACAATGTTAAAGTCCCAAGAGTTATACTATTGTTGGTGTCTCAATTAAGTCATAGAAAATGCTCTTTACTGTAAAATATAACTTCTCAAAGCTAGGACATCTTTTTGCATTGCAGTCTAAATCGTGTATTATTAGCATGAGCTGTTTCTGATGTACAGAATTGCATTGAAAATGGTGTAGTTGATATTTCAGAACTTTGCTTGTTCATACGCTATATGTATGTGCCAGCTTTGTGTGTAGTATGTTCATTATATTAACTGTACATAGAGTATATGTTGATGTGAAGAAATGTTCAAGCTAGCTCCTTCTAGCTATATCTTATATAAGTCTTTATGTGGTGTGAAGTGTATGTATAGGTGAAACAACAACTTCTAGTTATCATTGTCTTAAACATGTTGGATACATTATTTAAAATGGAGGAATATCGAAAAAACAATGATCAGTTCCCAAAAATGTTACCGTGTTATACTGACTGTACATTTATGTACTGATACTAATATTCACATGCAGTTTGATATAATACCAGGTTTATACATATATAATTATATAGTAGAGGGGATTCATTCCTCAAGCTAACCGACATCTCGCACAAGCAGTCGTCCCTCAGTAAGACATCTGGAGCTGCATAGTTCCTGTTTAACAGGCTGAATAAAAGTTCTAAATGGCAACTATGTGGCTCCAGATGTCTTACTGAGGGATGACTGCGTGTGCGAGATGTCGGTTAGCTTTAGGAATGAATCCCCTCTACTGTATACATGTACATGTACCAGGTTTATATAAATGATTCATTCTGTAAAAAGTGTATGGATGGTTTTGAGTCAGAATTATTTGCAGGAAACTTTTGTAGATGGTGTTCCTTTTCAACATGTTGTGAACTCTATCAACTCAAGTCTTTGGTCTCTTCATTGACAGTTATGGAAACAAGATTACCGGGTAGCTAATAATCTCCAAGCAGATCTTTTGGTGGGGGTAAGACAGTTAGCCTCTACCAGGCTTCAGGAGGCTGCTGAAAAGAGTAGAAATTGGCCAAATAGAGAGATAGCATGCCAGGGGAGTTGGTCTGCTGGAGAGAACAGTTTGCCGCTCCCAGCAAATTAATACAGGCTGGCCAATTTGATACTGTCTTACCACCACTGAAAGATCTGCTTGGAGATTAATTTTGTAGTCTCCTCCAGGCTGGCTATGCTGCTGAAAAATTCTACAATTTGCTAGGGGAGTTTATATTGCCTCTAGTGCACTATATAGGTTGTATTTGGTCATGCAGGTCAAAGGGAAATGTTATCACAGGATCACTCTTCTGGCCATTTATGCACCCTATTTTTCCTCACTTGGTGGTCTACCCAAAGAAAAGCTGACAAAATATGAAGCCTGACAAAACATCTAAAAGTTAATTTAAACATGCAAGATAGGCTTAACCTCTGCTAGGTGAGTTGGCTCTTGACCCCAACTATATATTTACCAAAAAGAACAAACACAGAAAAGAAGTTATAGCACATGGACTGTTTATTTCGGGGGGAAAGAAGGAAAATAGACATAAAATAAATAGGTGACTCTTGAGAAAATACTGATAAAGACGCTCTTCATATAGAGTTTTTAAATATATAGTGATAGGTTATACAGTTAAAAATACATGTAGTATCAAGATTGTTACTGTTTGAAATTTAACCCAAAACGTGTGTGTTGTATATCCAAGTTTAAACCTTTGAATTAAAAAAGTACATCACAATGAAGATACATGTAGACTTCATGGAAGCCAGTAGTATCATGGACAATTGTGTGGAAGATCATCTATTTTAGATTTCATTGCAGGAGTTGTGTTAAAAGTATTTTTCAGCTTTGTGCATTTCACATACATGTATACTGTATATATGGTAGCGTAATGTAAGTCTAACTATGTGCCACGGTTTGTATTTATTTGATCCCGAGTCCTTGAAAGAGATTACAAGGCATATCATCATTCTAAAGTGCTTAGCCATGTAGACCACTTCTCTCCAATCTTTTGACACAGCCCTTTTAATACACGAAGTAAACAGAACAGACCAAGTTGCTGAGTGAATATCTTTCCTACATTTGCCACCACTATTTTTCTAGATGGAAGCCGGTCATCATCTAAATTTTCTATGGGGAAAACCAACCACACCATTCCAGGGCTTCATTTTAACAAGGGCAAGTCCTTCACACCAATTAAACATCCCATCCTAAATATACAGTCAAACCTGTAGTAGTGACACCAATGCATCCACTTTTTAGTGTTCCCTTAGAGATTATTTTCTTCCCAAGAACTAAGAATTTTGTCTATAGTGACCACCTGTGACCATTTTCATCAAGGTCCTTGAGTAAAAGAGGATACAATTCATATCATCGTTATTTTCCCAGCCTTACTAGTACATTTTCATCAAGGTCCTTTTCATCAAGGTCACTTTTGACAGGTTTGACAGTTATGTATTTCCAACATCCCACCCCACCCCACATGCACATGTACATGTACATGTGTTTCACTGTTTTGAATTTCCAACACCCCACCCCACATTTTCCCCGCACGTTTTCACTGTATGCAGGTCAGTAGCAGCAGTTTCTTATTTCCGCAACTCTTCTGGAACCTGGAGAATGAAAACAGAATAAGTATCAGCTCAAGTACAAATGTGACAGGACAATAAACTAGATGAATAAACATTAGACCAGGTCTACTTTAGACTAAGTGCAGGTTAGGTGCAAGTAGACATCATCAGATATACCTGCACTAACCTGCAAATGCGGGTGTTATTTCAAGCCCTCAAGTTTTGCATTTTGCAAATTACAATATTCATTTTTCTAAATACGTTTTTTGTAATACCATGTATGTGTAAGGATATTTGACTCTATGGTTTATTCCAACAACATTGTACATGTACATGTTTATGGACTTCTTAATACTTCAATCATGTACATGAAAACCTGTATGTTTTGTATTTAAAAGTTTGTCTGACCCTGACCTATTCCTTCATAACCTAAACAGAAAGCAGCCAGCTGTATTTTCTGATTTAACAAAACATAAACAACAACATAAACATATCTGGGCTTTGATTATTCTGCTGCCGGCTTCCCTGTCTCAGGGGCAGCAGTCGGCTAGACTGGACTCCATGTCTCCATGTGACCCTGTCCACTGTGGGTAAATGTTGGACAGTCCACACATTCAGAAAGGCTCAAACAAACAAACATACAAACAAACTCACGGCCTTCTTGAGCCCCTGGTCGAGGTCAGCGATGAGGTCAGAGGTCTCCTCAATGCCGCAGGACAGGCGGATCAGGTCGTCATGGATACCGAGTTTGTCACGGTCCTCCTTCGGAACTGACATGTGCGTCATCAGGCCACTGGACGAGAGGAAAAATAAAAATTAGGAACAACCTGTGGTGCAGGACAATTGTAGTTGTCTCTGGACCTGTGCCATGGTGCTCCTGCCCATGGATTACTTGGTGGTATAAAACTGTTTTACGCAGATGTATTTTTATTTGTCCCTTTTCCAATCAACCATAAGATCAGGAAAGAAAACAGAGAAGAAGGTAAATAACTTACGGGATCTCAGCCAGACTCTCGATACCTCCCAGACTCTCAGCCAGGGTGAAGATCTGTTAACAATATAAAAATATTCAAGCACCCCACTTTCTTTCTCTTCTCATAATCATTTTTATCCTATAACAGTCCTTGAGGGTTAAAAGGCCACATCAACAGAAAAAGATAGACTTAGTTTAATGACAATGCCTGTATCTTGGTTCACAAAGTATCAGGGAGTAAAAAGAGTCAAATTTTTGTCTCCGAGTTCTCTTTTGCCGAATTCCTACTTTTAAATGTCAGAGAATCCAGGAAAATACATTGGTGTGGTCTAAGCTGCACTGTCTTATAATACACATTTTTTACAAGGAAATGAGAAAACCAACTATTTCTCAATGACAGTTTCCACCATTATTCTGTGTCCTTCCATATTTTGTGGAAACAAGTGGAACAAACCTTGAGGTACTGTAGGAACTTGCTGGCACACTCCACGCCGCCCTTGATCCTGAAGGTCACCATGCCGGAACAGCCAGTCGCCTGCTTCTGCATCACAGGGTAGGACGGGTGGGAGGGCAGGCCTGTACGGAACAGACAAGGTTAAATCACATAACCTTCCATAACAGGCGACTACAAATGTTTTGTATGACAGGGTAGGAGGGGTGGGAGGGCAGGCCTGCACGGAACAGACATTCTCAAGGTCAAATCACATAACCTTCAAAGACAGGCAACTACAAACAACATCATTGTTGAAGTATGGTTACTAGTATGACGTGGCCATGGAAGGGAAGGCCTGTATTCAATAGAAAGAACATTGGATTCCATTTTGTTGTCAAATCACATGATATTAAAAGACAGGCAACTACAAATGTCTGAAGACAAAAGTACTGCATTACATGGTAGGAGGGGTGGGAGGGCAGGCTTGCATGGAACAGACAAGGTCAAGGTCAAATCACACCAACAGAAAAAAAAGAGCACAGCTCCAAATTTGGGTGCACTAGGGTATTTCGAGCCCTGTAATAACTTCAATGAAGACTACTGAATTAACTTGTTCTATCTGGAAATCAGCACCAAGGACAGGTGCCATGGACACATACCAATATGCAACCGTACTCACAAATAAACAAAGAAACAAACAAATAAACAGACCAGGGTAGAAGCTGTGGATGACACAGGGGTGACTCTCCAGAAACTTGGCCACGGCTAGTCCATTCTGGTAGTGCTGCTTCATCCTCACAGCAAGGGTCTTCAGGCCTCGATTCACAAGGAAACAGTCGAATGGAGCAGGGACGGCGCCAACCGCTGAAATATCACAAACATACACAAAGTCTCGTTATTTCTGATTATTAACTTTTATACTTTTACCTTTAAAGTATGTATTCCTGTTTTACTAGAAATAGAACAGTGTAACTGCTTTGTGTTTATTTTATTTTATTTTATTCACATGGATTTTTGAGCATTGGATAGGAAGCACTTGTTGTGCTTATGTAAATCCGCTGCTCATAAAGCTTTGTGTTTGTCTTATCAACATTTACAGATTCATTGAAACCTGTGTTAACGTACCTTAAAAGATTGTCAGCAGGGGTTCAATATGTATGGCATACTTTATGTTTTACCTAGACAAGCAATGCCTTGTATTTTACCATATTTGGGTGAGGATTGTATGTATTACCATATTTGGATAAAAGTTCTGCTTTACCATATACTAGTATGGGCAGGGGTTCTATTTTACCATATATGGACAGAGGTTCCATTTCACCATACATGGACACAGGTTCTATTTTACCATATTTGGATATGGGTTCTATTTTAGAGGTTCTATTTTACCATATAAGGACAGTGGTTCTATTTTACCATATTGCAGGAAGCGCAGTTTCTCGTGGATATCGTCCCTGTTGGTGACCACAGCTCCCATCACTACATCACTGTGGCCTGGAGGAGACAAAAGCAAACATTTCAATACTAACAGCAGTTTCTATGGCAACGTCAATTTTCAGAAAATAGTGTAATAACATACAGTTTAAGTCAGTGAAGGTTAGACATCCAGGTAAAAAGATACTCCAAAAAACAGTTATTCAAACAACTGGATATGATTTTGGAAATGGTCAGACGTTTCAGGTAGCATCCACTACCTTTTGTCAGTGACACTAGAGACAAGAGAATGGCAGGTTTATAAGCACAAACTATTGACTTATTTCAACATGTACTGAACAATATTAATTGTGCTGCACAATGGAGTTTTCATGCCAAGTGTAACAAGTGCCACCCACCGTTCATGTACTTGGTGACCGAGTGAAATGCAATATCAGCTCCATGGTCCAGGGGGCGCTGTTGCACAGTATAAAAAATGCAACTGTTATCTTCAAGCATTTGAACCACTTGCTAAGAGCCTGGTCCTCAAAAACAAGACAATGACTATGGATTGAATATTTCCTATACTTAAGTCTATGCTAAAGAGTGGTGAGTGTAGTTTTTTTTGGTTTGAAAAGTATTGATGTGAGAATATTTTGGAACCTTTTTCTCTTCTTTCATCAAACTGGAATCAAGTAACTTTTATCAATTTCTTCCTATCTTGAATACTAGTAATCCTTTCACCCGAATAGCGCTGATTTCCAAGGGAGCCCATAACATATAAACAGAATAGAAACTTTTATTCTGAGTTACATAACAGTACCTACATGTATAAGTACTAGTAACAAGCCATTCTGTACCTGGAAGTAAGAAGGCATGAAAGTGTTAAGAGCAACCAGAATTGTTTTACACATGAATACCTTCTTTTCCCTTCTAACACGAAATTTAAAACTAAATTTACAGTAAGCAATTCTGATTTACAGTACTGTACCTGGAAGTAAGAAGACATGAAGGTGTTGTCAGCGACCAGTATGATGTCCCTCCCCTTCACCACATCAGCCACAGCCTGGATATCCACCACTCGCAGGGTGGGGTTAGTCGGGGTCTCAATCCAAACCAACTGTACAAAACACAGAGGCAAAACTTTAGCAAAGGGCTGTGCCAGAGTGAACAGAGTACGAGAGAAAACAGCAAACGAAACAAAACACGGTCAGATAAAAACTGAGGTTCTCAATATCTGAAAACAAACATAGTGTCAGTTCAGTTCAGGTCATCCTCAAACGAGGTGCCATGGCTGTGCATGGCAGCCAGCTGGTGTAAAAAAAACAAAGTGTAAAAAAGTGTTTAAAAATTTAAGATTTGTTATGAATTTCCTTATGCTTCTAGGAGCAAGCGGACCCGAGTGAGTGAGTGAGTGAGTGAGTGAGTGAGTGAGTGAGTGAGTGAGTGAGTGAGTGAGTGAGTATGAATTTCCTGCTTTATTCATTATTCAATTTCTTCTGAATTTCTTGCTGTTTCTGGACATATTTCTGTCTCTTCCTTCTACTTGACCTCCAACTCATCCTTCCTGGTTGTCTGCGGACATATCACGATTTTGCATCATTGTGCAAAGCCCTGACCACCCCTTACCTTGGTGTTCGGCTTGATAGCTGCTGCTACGTTTGCTGCATCTGTGCAGTCCACAAAACTGGTCTCAATGCCGTTCCTGCTGGCCACCCGACGGAAATACCTGTTAGTACCTGTGAAGGAAGACAAATGACCGCTTAGGATAAACTACATTTCTTACTTTTCATGCAGGCCTTTGTTCATTTGGGGGAAATTTTCAATCTCTGTGATAGTTTTTCCTTCTCTGGGACCAGACATCTACGATCTAGAAACTGCTATCTGTTTTCCAGCTTTTCATGTACAGCTTTTCATGTACAATGTACAAAAGACATCCAAACGAAGATATCCAGCAAGACAGGACATTTCTAGATGACTTCTAGAAGTTAAGTAGATCTAGAAATCTGGGACAAAACATCCCTTTTCAAGCTGTAGTTTTCAAAGTTCAAGTTTCCAGGGCCCCACCAAGATGGGCAAGGTAAAAATAAACAAACAAACAAACATGACCCTGACCTCCGTAGACATCATCCATACTGACAATGTGGTCTCCCTGCTGCAGGAGTTTTGTGATGGTGTCTGTGGCAGCCAGGCCGGAGGAGAACGTCAGGCCTGATGGGGGAAGAACATAGTCAGTCCAATCATTCATTCATCTACTCATTAAAGGGAAATACATTTTGCTAACAAAGTTGTTAGGAAGCCAGACAGTTGCAAGAGATATAGAGATTGTTGAGACCTTACCAAAAAAAAAAAGCATATTTTGTCAACATCTCAAAAATATTTTCTGACAGCAAATGAGTGAGCTAGTTTTCTTGATACAAGAAAGAAGGAAATATCTTAGCTTTTGTTAGAAAATTGTAGGTTAACAATTTTGAATAGAAGCATATATAAAAGAGCATTTTGCACTTACCATACTTTCCATTCTCCAAGGCAGCGAAACACTCCTCCAGACAGTTCCGTGTGGGGTTTCCAGCACGGGAGTACTCAAAACCCTGCAGAAACAAGAAATTGGAGACTTCAGAGTTCCAGAAAGTGCTTCAGGTTTTCATGAATGTATTGAAACTGTGTGGAAAGGATTGTATGATGTATCACCTTTTATTCTCCCTGCAACTACATGTAGATTGTCCAAGCATTGTGGTTTATATTTCATAGCATGATGTACTAGTATTGTAATATTGTATTGTATGATCAGGATATTTAATGCTATTGAAGTATGATGCAACTTTCTCTGCTGTTACAACATGGTTTATGTACATATAAAAATAAACTTTTCCTGAACCAATGCTGCCTAAAACAATTCTTTCAACATATCCTTTTCCCCTTTCTTCCACATTCTTATACTTAGTTTTGCCACTTGCCACTCCTCCCTACATCTGCTTGGAGACAAACACTAGCCCCTTCATGCTACATGTCAGTCACATGACCTGCTATCAAGAGGCCGACAAACACTCCACAACAGAGCAAACCCGTCACTACAGTAACGGTGGCATCGATAAAGCGGCCGTCGAGATAAGGGGGCAAACATCCTATTGGGAAAGCTTAATTTGTTTTACTTCTCTGATGACGTACCAAAATAAATGGCAGTAGAAAGAGGACTGCATGCCTCCGTGAATAGTTTGATCAGGTAGCCTCCGTAGCAGGCTTACATGTATTATTAAGAACTGGGGGTTTGGTGGTCTTCGGCTGTTTTCTGATTAGCCCAGTTCTAAAAACGGGGGTAATTCAACCGGGTCGGCTATGTTGTCTATATGCAATCAGAAAATAGCACATTAAAGCTCCCAAAGACCCTGAAGACCGCCCAAACCCCCAGTTTTTGGCATGCTATGGAGGCTAGCAGAAAGGGGTCTGCATGCCTCCGTGAATAGTTTCATCAGGTTGATAAGACACTGAGTAAAGAGACCAGTCCTGAGGAAGGTGACAGACGGCCACTGAAACGTCGGCTGAAGAAAAGACTTGTTTGCGCAAAAAGAGTCTCTTTACTCAGGTCTGCATTCTGTTTTTGTAAGGCATAAGTTGCAAGTAGCTATCTTAATCTTATGCATTATTTTATTGGTCCACACTAATTCAACCATTTCAATGCAAAGTGTGGTGAATTTAGCACAATGTCTTAGGGCCTGAAAGTGAATAAATTTTCAGTTAAGAGCTGGAGGAATTTTACATAGTTTGTAAGGCATTATAAACCCCATTCATAGCCCATTGTCAAATGAATGACAAGGGGCAATACAACTGTGAAACCTAACAGATGGTGGTAGGAAATAGCTGTGCATAAATTACCTTAGGTTAGCTTTAGCAATGGAGATAAAACAGCTTGTCGCTTTCATCAGCAATTTTTGGTAGGTGTGTTTGTAGGCAGTAGGGCATGTTTTATTCCTGAATTGTCTAAGTGTGTAATTTTTTAACACACCTGAGTGATATGGTATGTAATTATAGTTATACACCTGAGTGATATGGCTTTTTTTTCAAAGGGATTCGCTCACTATGTAAGGCCAAGAGACTGCTCCTAGGATTTTGTACTTCTACTTTTAGAAGTAATTTATAGGTAGTACTGCCATGGTACTTTTTATCAGGGGACCACAAAGAGCAGAAGACATCAGACCAAATCTTACATCTGCTTGAGGATAATTATTCCCTGGGTCACGAGTGGGTCACATGGCTGTAGTACTGTACATTATGGTCTGCTACACTCTAACATACAGATGGTCACACAAAATCACCAACACCAACAGATTATACCAACTTATGGTCTAAGATTGTTCCAGCAATCTTGGTGAAACAATATGTGGCTTGGGATAGCAAGGTGTTTTTTTAACCTCCTTGGAGAATGAAAACAAAATGCTGTTATATAGTGATGACTACAGGTTTCTGTTTCAATTAATTATTCAGAATTTTTTGGTGGTTTAAAGTTGATGCCAGTCGATTCTTTGTGTTACTAAGTGTTATTATAAATCGTTTGATATTGTAATCATATGCTCTTTACGTTTCGTTAAAAAAACCCAGCTTGGTAACGAAGGCCTTGGGTGTGATATAGATTTACAGATAGGTCGATCGATGTAACATGATCAGCAAAGGCCACTATGGCCATGTGCCTACAACTTTAGCTAGAGTGGTTCACCATAAGGCCGGGTTACTCACACGAATATAACTGCTATTTCGCTTATAAAAACCACATACAACGCTACAGATCCTGTTGCTATTGAATCTAGTCCTACACCAACAGTTTATGCCTTCAACGTAGCGTACGATTTTGCAAAGTCACTCTTCAAAACCACTCAACCAAAAATCCTGGAAGAACCAAAATGTCGTCTGCTATACCGGCTACTTACCGAGTGTTGTCCGGGCGCTTTTTGCTTGAACGTCGTTGCTAGGGAAATTGGTGGGATAACAGCCTTGGAGTTCCACTGTTCAGGGTCTTGTCCTGCGTGAATCGCGTCCGTAGCGAAGTGAGGAAAGGCGGAAAGAAAGCCGGCGTTGTCGCCATCGATGCACCCGTTGTTAGCGGCCATGTTGGACTCAAATGTGGCAAACCCGGAGGAAGAACTGGGGGTGTGTCTGATGACGTGTGATGACGTCAGGGTCAAATGCGGGTCACGGGGCCGGAAAACGCGGGAAAGGTGTTTAGAACTCGTAGCAAAGGAAGAAAAAGAACAGCAAATTTTACCGTTTCTTGCTATTTTTGCGGCCGATCCACGATTGAACAACAGCCCTAATGAAGCTATAAACATATCTGCACACGATATTTTACCATAGAAGCATACTTTTTCGAGAAAATGCTGATTTAGCCAAGTCAAAATCACAAGACCACCATTGTCGGTAAATATTTGATCAAAGGAGGCGGGGCATAGGTGGAGTTATGCCACGTGACGGATTTATTGACCTTTTTGGCATAGTCACGATTGCACCATTCTTTTCAGGTCTTGTCACTAAAAAAAACGGCACAGGCAAAAATTGCTGAGTCATGATTACGTATTGCGTTTTCAGTAATATTTAGCAAATTTTACCTAGATATGAAATACTGTACAGTGTGTACAGGTAACGTCATCATACTTACTGGAGTGTAGTTAGATTTAATAGCAAAACTTTTGAGTACGATCATTTGTGGTTGTACATGCTTTTAAAAGTGGAATCGTGAATAAAATCGCTTTCTTTCCTTTTAGGAAGTTCTGAGCGACTATGTACGCTTATACAGGATAGGTGTAACTATTTATATAAACTAGCCCAGTGTACGTGTGTTTATATATAGGGCCATACAATACCTGCCAGAAGGATGTTTACCAAAACCTTTACCTTTGGACCGGACTAACCTTACCCTCAGGAACCCTATAAGATAGACATGGTTAAATAGAGCCACGTATTAAAAGTATGGACTTTAAACTCCAAGCAGATGTGTTGACGTTGTTTGCCTTTTGTGCGCTTTTTCGCCCTTTGCCCTTTCAATGGCGATACTTTTCGATTTTTTAAAACCACAGTTTTCACTGGAAGCCTGCATCATCATCATCTGGTCGTGAGAGTTTCACGGATGCTTACTTGTATACTTGGATAAAATTACCCCACTGGGCAAGCTTGGAAAAACTGGTCAAAAGCCTACTTCACAGATTCATAGAGCAAATCGGACAAATTCTTCGAAATCGCAAAATCGTTCTTTAATTCTTTAATGATGGAAATGTATGGCAAAACATAAGTTCACTTTCAAGAAAAAAAGGAAATGCATGACATGTGTTTCAAGGTTGACCCGTTCTTGTGGTTTAAGGCACAACCCGTCATTCTATATCGCACTTTCCGTTTTCTTGTCCGTCAACTTCTTTGCAGCTATTCTTACCTGTACTCTTACAACTTGCCATCCGTTTTTGCATCCATTGTTCTTGATGTTTTTGTTATCAACAACTACAGGAAAAAGTTGACTACGTACCGTTGTCAATTTCGAATGTAGTTTTCGGACTGTTTAGTGAGCAATGTCTGTTCTCCGATTCAGTACGTGGGCTGCAATTATCAATTGTCAAAATGCAGATGTAACTTTTCAATAAACCATCACTACTAAAGAAGTAAAGTTATCTTTGTCGATCCTTGCCAGTGAAGTTTTGTAGCCAGTCCCGAACCTCATCCAAATGGTAACCCTCCGGTCCAAGACCTCCCTTGTAGACAACTCTACCGTCTAGAATCACAAACAGACGGTCAGGATAACAGGCGTAGGTTTTTGCTACGTTGTTGTCCATCGTATCCACTACAATTGGACAATACGGGACGAGGTTATCAGCGAGTTGCTGCAGTTTTCTGGCGGCCGCTAGGCGCTCCTGCAGAGAACGGTGCTGAGGGATGGTGATGTTGTTCTTCAGGGCCCAGCCGCCAGGGGGATGTGCCTCGGCCAGGTAAACCTACACGGCAAGAGGAGGAAGGGGGTATTTAGGGGTGTTTTGAACTTGTGACTCTCTTGTGTTCTTCCACCGTACCATGGATTCACAAAGTTTTGTAACCACTTATCGCTGTAAATCTACAGTTTAAGTTTCGTAACCATTTTTGTACATCTGTAATCGTAAGTTTTAAAGCTACTTATTGCTTGTAATGTATCAACGGTGCTATGATGTACTGTTTCTGAAGTCTTTGTGTGAATAAAGTTATTAAAAAAATATTCACAATGTTCAATTCGACCTTCCTGCCAGTCTGGTTACACCATTTCCCATTCACCTCCTAAGACTGAGAAACTACACTAGCATACACACAGAAAATAAAACTTCCGTACACAATAAAGGGATGAATGGATGGGTTGGGAGGGAGGGAGGGAGGGATCGGTGGATGGATGGATGGATGGATGGATGAATCGATCGAAATAGTATGACGATAACTACCGTGAGGAAGTCTGCAGTTTGCCTGATGTCCGCTGCGAGGCGCTTGAAGTCGGCCAGTTTGCCCCGGAACGGAGGTCATGAACAGCTGCCGCAGTTCAGTACCAGGGGACGGCCTGGAGAAAAAGGAAAAAACAACTCTATATAAGACTAAAAAAGGTAACATTTGTAAAGGAAATGCACAATGTTTACCTAGGTACCTTAACATGGTCTAGCCTAACGAACTACTGCTCTGTTTATTCATTAACACATTGATATATAACTGTTACATGTATGTACGGTGCTCAGCCCCTCAGTCTGTCCTGTTACATCATGTAATCCAACACCACAGGGTGTCTGCTACAGCACCAGTTACCATGGCGACAGACGTCTGTCCCAGGTCACTGACCTTGTGTGTGGAGTACAAGAATAAGAAATAGAGCAAAAACAACATGTTTTCGCAATAATCTTCACTTTTAAATGCTCCTAGATTAAAACCTAGAAAAATCACTATATTCAAATTACGAGCTTCAGTATCGAGTGTTCGAATCATTCATGTACTGAGATAAGAAAAAAAACAAAACAAAAACAAACAGACAAACAGAAAAACAAATAAAACTCATTACCTGGATTTCCGAATTCTAAAAGGTCCCGTGTTCTTCCCGTGTCCAGTTCGATGACGTCACACCTCGGCGCCGGTGACCCGACCATGACGTAACTGCTGACATCACGCCACACCGCCCCACACACGTCCAGGTAGGCTGAGAGACTTAGGAAGGTGCCTGAGTTGGAAGAGCAAAATCCTCCCATTATAATGTTCCGTAAGTTACAGCCAGCCAAATAAACAATCAACCGACTAACTTATCTGTCTTTAAATGTATCTGTATTTGTGGCCTATATCCCTATAGAGCCGGTACAGCCGCCCTTCAGCGTAACACACCAGCTTCGCAGGCACGCGGCGCGGTGTCAGCTGGCTATATTACACCGAACGACTTGTTACACCTAACCCTAACATCTACAGTAACTTTAATCAGTCAACTAATAAACCAACCAACCAACCAACCAACCAACCAACCAACCAACCAACCAACCAACCAACCAACCAACCAACCAACCAACCAACCAACCAACCGGTTAAGAAATGCAAAAGTACAAAATCATTGCAAAGCGTTATTTTTTTTTTTTACATAACAGTGACATAAAAACTGTATCAACCACAAATTCCCCTAATGCAAATAGCATCAGCTGTGACATAATGGTTTCCACCTCGACATTACCGTTAAGATTCTTTATAAGTTGATTCTTTATAAGTTGACTCAACAATTCACAAAGTACAGGGACTTTCGTAACACAATGCACAACTAAGATAGACACAGCTAAATACATGTATGGATAAAGTCATCCTACTTACGGAATATAATGTTATGTATGCAGCTACGTACAGAATATATAACTGTCACAGTGGTAACATTAGATGTTTAATTAACTGTTCTCTAGCGTATAGTCTCTAAGATTTCAACATTCTTTAATGTGTCCCCTGTTCGCACACTATATATAACGTTACATAACGTTAATATATAACAGTAACAGTTACCTGCATAGTCGTCGAACTCTAGCGGACAGTCCCAAAACTGCGTTGCCTTGGCAACTCTAACCAGGATCTCGCGCTGTCTGTCGGGAGAGACGACTCCCAGGATCCTCAGGACGATCAGCTGTACCGTCCATTTTACCAGAAAACACAGGTAGGAGAACAGCGTTCGAAAGAACCCACGAACCGCCATGTTGGTAGCAAACAGTACTACAAGGTCACCGATAACTAAAAACACACGTACGTAGCGCTACACTTAAGCGCTCAGTCAGGGTTCGACAAGCCCGTTGCGTAACACCCTTAAGTCCTTTAAGAGTTACTTGAAGACTTCTAGGCCCCAGTCAATAAGGCGCAGTGCTCTTAAGACCTCTTGAAGGTTGTGCAGTTAAAGAGGTCATTTGTTTAAAGTGTCGTAACGCCCACTGCTGGTTATTAGGTAACCTGTGCACTGGGCTGACCTTGACCGGTGTTTGTTCTTGGGTCCAGTCATCCAGGTCAGATTAAAAGGCCGCTCGTGGTAAAAGTAACACAGAGGGACGATTAAAGTTTAACTTGAAGTTACTTTTTTTAACTAATGATGTTTTGTAACCTTTTTTATTACTTGTAGATGGAGTTAATCAAATCTATATAAGACGGATCCAATCCAAGCGTAAATCAATAAAGGCATTGCCGCAGAGGAAAGGGGCCACTGTCCGTCTGGTCATTCACCTTTGGCACAGTCCTAGAGTTGACGTAGCCTCAACATTGCTGCTGTGTTACGCCGAAGGGCGGTTATACCGGCTTTACAGATACAGACACCACTACTTATCATTACCTGTCATTAATTTAATACCTGCCAACACTCGATTTGCAAATACAATGTGTCGTATCAGTCCAGTCTCTGTACGCTGTTTTTATTCAGGTCATCAGGCAACAGAATCCTGCAACCTTTGACCTTTTAACCCCACAACAAGTCGAGGCAGGCGCCTGCCAGGGTATGTTTTTATTGCAATTTTGTGTCGGTTTCACCTTAAAATTACGTACTATTCGTCCAGTTTGTGAGATGTTAAGACATCAGATGTACTAGTTACTGGAAGCAAAAGCATTTTCTGTTATATACGAAGCAAAAACTGTTACATTTAGTTTTGTTTCTCTCGATAAAATTATGCCCCCCCCACAACTCAGGTCTGTACTACCGGATCATCACTATGCACTAGTACTAGTACTATGAGATTATAAGAAAAAAGGACGTCGTGTTTAGAATAATGGCTACTGAAGGCTGTGAAGAGGACCAAGAGACTGAAGATTCAACATTTGTAGAGGACTCGGAGCGAGGTAAGTTATAAACGTTATGATTTGCAATAAAACAATTATAATTGTAACGGTTATGGCTTTGTGATTATGGTGATTTGTAGGTGACTGTATGGAGAGATGTGAACCCTGCCCAGTCGACCCTGCATTGAAAAAAAACTCCTCAGAAAAAAGACATAACAAAAAACAACAAACATAATTATTAATTATCTGTAGCCTGGGTACCATCTGGATTTTCACTCCGCAACGCTCGAAAAATCACGAGTTAAAATCGGGATGGTACCCAGGCTAAATTGCTTGCATGTTGCAGTGTGGTGTGTGGGTGACCGGTGTCAGGCCCCCTGCTCCTACGATGGACAGTACTACACCGCTGTTATCCAGTCGGTCCACACGAGCCCCGCACAGTCGACCCCGCGTGTCACCGTCAAGTTCTGCGGGTTTGAGTCGGATGAAAATGAGGAAGTTCCCGTTGCAGAACTCAGGAAGCTGTCCAGGAGGGAGAAAACTAGAGCCTGTACACCTGAGAGAAATGGTGAGGGAACTTCTTACAGTTTCATGATCAAGCATAAAATTATACCATGGATAAGCTCCTTGCGTATATAAAATGCAACATGGTGTGTTTTGTATCACTTAAGGTGCCAAGGAGATACTAGTACATGTATTATCTAACTTAGTGCATTTGGCCCATGTAGGGCGTGAATATGCAATAAAGTTCATTGTCATTGTCATTATCAACAATTGCTATTTTCCCAGTAGGGCTGGGGGTGAGGGTGATGCGGAATACATCATGTTGTATTCTATTTATGTCATACCCACCCAAGAAAACACACATTTCAATGCCAAATGTACCAGAAATTGAGAATTGTTTTTTTTAATTCCTCAGTGGAAGTTCCTGCTGGTGACACCAGTATGTTTAGTCCCTTACAGGGAGACGAAACCAGGAAACATCTGGGGTAAGAAGTCTTTTTTTTGTTGTTGTTTTTTCATGAGGTACTACTAGGATTTTGTGTGAGACAGGTATACAGGCAGGTACTAGTATTTGTTGATAGGGAGGGCCAAAAGGCCTTGTCTAGATTTTCTATTGTTCTGTTTCTTCCGTGCGTTTCTAATAAACCTCAGCTCCGACATACTAGTAATAATCGTATACCAATAGTGCATGTATGTCTTCAAGCTCATTGGCTATGATTTTGTACATGTTTCTATAAAACTTGTCTTTCCCTCAGAGCAAAGTTTGCCAAGCTTGAGGATTCAGATGATGACATGACCTCCCCGCCACCACCACCGCGGCCTGCCGGCCCACAGAAGTACAAACCTCTGAAACTGGGCAGGAAGAGAAGAGCAGGCCCGCAGGTGCAGTACTGAGCTCGGCTGCTAGGGGGCAGGACAGTCCCCGCTACTCCTCCTCAAGGTAGCCATGGTTCTTATCATATCCAGAACTGTACATATCTAGTTCTAAGTCTGGATGGCTTAGGGGTAGGATAGGGCACGGTTCTGGATAGTCTCCGTGTATGCAAGAACATAGATTTGTCCATGGCACGGTTCTGGATATGCTTGAACTATCCACAACTGTGCATGGGCATGGTACTGGATAAAACATGATTACTGTATGTGTGACCCAGTGTGATACCATTACTACCGGTATTGGTATCACACTGGGGTTGTGGGGAAGAGCATGGCTTTTTTCCCTAAATGTACATGCTATGATGTAAAATGTTCGCTGATGATATTTTTGTTGTTCCTGGATACTGTAGTAGCTCGTCTCACCTGCCCAGCCCTAGAGAGAATGAAAACAGAGCCGACAGCACCGGGAGAGGGGACCACAGCTTCAGAATGGAAGGTATATGCTTGCTTATGAAATAAAGACTTTTCGGTTGACTTCATCAACCTTGTTCACAGAATGGACCTGTCTACTCTTGGACGTCACGTGTCTCTGACGTCACGTTCCAAGAGTAGATGGCATTCCGTGAACAAGGTTGATGGAGTCAACCGAAAATGTGGGGTAAGTCCCAATTCTATATCTAGTGTTGGAAGTTAAAGTTCAGTCTTTATTTCATAATGATTTGTACCAACACAGATGAACTTTCATGCTATATTCTTGCTTGTATGCCTGGATTGATACACCAGTTCTGTACTTAGTCTGATATTACTTTTCATTTAGACCTCACAAGCCATCAATGTTTCGGAAACATTGCCATGTTTTTCCACTGTGTTTCAGGTTTCAGTGATGAAGATTATGAGAAGCCGTTCTTCAGGAACCACTCTCATGTGGGGAAGAAGGAGCCCTTTGTTCTCTCACCTGCAGGAGAAACACCTGTTGTACAGGTAAACACCTGTTGTACAGGTAAACACCTGTTGTACAGGTAAACACCTGTTGTACAGGTAAAACACCTGTTGTATATGTAAAAAACAGGCTTATACTTTCACAGAGTAACAAGAGTTGGGGCACAATGTATAATGATATAAAATGAGTCAGTATTTTCAGCCCCAAAAATTGTTTCCACAAAAATGTTCTGACAAAAGTTTCAAATTCATGGCTCTCTCTCATACTAATTTGCCTAAAGATTCCTGCTACCATCAACCGTTACCTGCGCGACTACCAGAGGGAGGGAGTGCAGTTCCTGTATCGGCAGTACGAGGCTGGAATGGGGGCCATACTGGGGGACGACATGGGGCTGGGGAAAACTGTCCAGGTCTGTTCTGAATTGTTGCATTCCTTTCAGTGTCAAGGGCCAATGGCTGAATAGTGCTGAACACCATCCACATGTTAGAAAATGTCTGTCCTTGGTGCTAAACACTATCCACATATTAGAAAAGGTCTGTCCTTGGTGCTGAACACTATCCACATATTAGACAAGGTCTGTCCTTGGTACTTAACACACGCATGAGGTATTACATGTATGTATGTACATGAAAGATAGAAATTTGAGCACTTGTCAGCTTAGTTACAACTTTACGAAATGGCCTGAGTTGTAATTACTGGTACAACAAATAAACTGAAACTGAAACTGTTTTTTTAGGTTTATTTTCTATATCTATGACTTCAGGTGATTTCCTTCCTGTCTGCTGTGTTGGGAAGAACTGGGACGAGAGAAGACATCACCAACTTCAAGAAGGTCAGATGCTAGATTTTAGTGGTACAAAAATTTGCGACAGAAATAGCAGTTTGTTACAGAGTCGCCTGTAAGGACTTAACATGGCATCACAGAGTTCCCTGAATAGCTAGAACTACATGTAGGTCAGTCAGTCAGAGATATCAGTGACAGGAACACAGGAAGAAGGTAGGACTGACAGTAGGCAGGGACTTCAGATGTACCTTAGATTAGGAAGGGAATAAAATAGAGGTGTTCAACTCCAGTCTTTGTCTGTGGTCTTCATGAGTTAGGGAGGGATTGTAGACCAAAACATGACACAACAGATACAGGTAACTTTTCTCGTGATATATTTCCAGAAGAGGCAAGACTCTCCTGATGACCACGAGGAGAAACAGCAGGTATTTCTGATCGTCAGTCCTGCTTCTGTTCTGTACAACTGGCTGGACGAACTGGAGACATGGGGACACTTCAGAGTCGGGTAAAAAAACTGAATTATTTTTTTGGAGTATGGAGTACAAAACATACGTCTGCTTCGGGCTACAAAGTTTTTACAAAGGTTTTATCATACAGTGATTAGATTGGAGTTTTGTGAAGGGATATGAAATGTGTTGGATTTCTGAGGCATCTGATTTTTATTAAGTTGCCAGTCTTATTTTGTACTATGGCACACAAGTTTACTACAGTAGCTAATATAACTTTTTTCCCTGATTATTCAGTAAGTACCACGGAGACCCGAGCCTGCGGGATGAGGTGCTGACCAGAGCGGAGGCAGGAAGGCTGGACATTGTCATCACTACGTACGAAACTCTTAGGAGGAACCTGGTAAGTCCAGGTTGTCTTCTGAAAGGGTCGGGGAACAACCCAAACTATTTTTTAGTTTGTTTGTTTGATTTTTATTTGTTTGAGCCTTTTATTTGTTTGAGCCTGTTAAATCATAAAAGATTTTTCTACCTCATGAAATATTCAAATCACCTTGCCGGCAGTTTTTTGTTAAAGGTCATGAGGGAAAAGGTCTGGTTCAGACAAAATGTAGCAACTTATCGGTTACATGATTGGAGTCCTACCAAATCCATAGAAGTACAGTTGCAAAAACCTAGACTTTTGATGAAGCCCTTGTTTCCGAAAGGTCAAGATTATTAATCTATAAACAGAAGTTTTATCTACCCTAAGTACAAGCAACTCAAAGGCTCTTTACACGCTACATACACTAATCATTAAAATCATTGAAGATGCACTTCCTACATTGTCCTTCAAGTAATTTGTTGTTTTTCCTCTCAGAATGAGGTGAACTCTGTGAGGTTTGACTGGTCAGCTGTGATTGTGGACGAGTGCCACGTACAACATGGAGATGTGAAATCTTTAATTTCTTGTTATCATATCTTACACGTTGTTTTTCATCTCAGAATGAGGTGAACTCTGTGCGGTTTGACTGGTCAGCTGTGATCGTGGATGAGTGCCACAAGATTAAGGAGAAGAAGGCGAAGATCACGGAGGCCATGGGTCAACTGCGCGTCCGTCGTCGGGTGGGGCTCACCGGGACGATCCTGCAGAACAACCTCATGGAGATGTGGTGTGTGCTCAACTGGTGAGGACGCACAAACAAACAAACAAACACAGAAACACACACAAACACACTCACACACACACAAACACATGTACATACACGTGTGAACACACACGAACACACATACAAACATCCTAAAGAACAACCTCATGGAGATGTGGTGTGTGCTCAACTGGTGAGGACGCACAGACAAGCAAACAAACAAACACACACAAGACAAACACACAGGCAAACACACACACAAATGCCATTCCTTGGGTCTGAATGCCATCCACACACACAAACACATGCAAACAAACCTGTCCTTGCTTCTGAATGCCATCCACACACACAAACACACACACAAACATGTCTGTCCTTGGTGCTGAGCGCCATCCACACAAACATACAAGATACAAGCTACATGATTAGCGTCCTACGAAAACCATATTAAGCAATGGTATTATAGTACTGTTGTACAAAGTCTATTTACAGATGTTACATGTACAAACTTTGCAATAGTTTTAATCATTACATGAGTTTTTCGTTACAGATACATCTGTCTCATGTTTTTCCTTTCTCTCCCATCAGGGCCAACCCAGGTTGCCTAGGTGATGACAAAGATTTTAGGGCCAAGTTCGTGCAGCCAATCGAGGAAGGGCAGAAGATGAACTCAACAAAACGGCAGCTGGCCGAAGCTCGGAGAAGTAAGAAAGTTAATGTTGTTCCTTAGAAAGCACTCTAGAACAAGTTGTTCTGCCAAGTTTGTTTGCTGAAAGAAATTGTCTGCCAGATCTAGATGTCACCTGATTCTGTCCATGAAAGAACAATAAAACCTCAGTGGCCTCAATTGCCTCTATTGAACACCAATCAATACTGATTACCACTGTAAAAATGCCACACACTAGTAAAGACAAATTTACTGCTCATAGTATTAAAAAAAACATGAAGTCTGGATGTCTTGAATTTCTTTGCTGCTCTGTAGAAGCCAAGATGCTGAGCAACCTGAGGAAAAAGTGGTTCATCCGCAGAACCAAGAAGATCATAGCAGACCAGCTTCCCACTAAAGGTAGTGTATGTGCTGTAACCATAACCCTTTCAAGTAGCTTGCACATCATGTCATGAGCAACAACAGCCGGGATTCAAACTCCCAGATTCTTTGTAAAGAGGCATATGGTCACTCACAACATTTTCTCACAAGGACTCCGACCCGTTTGTTATGTATAAAAGGGTTTGTATCTACAAACTCTGAGATGTAAACCGTGAACTAGAATCAACTGGTCTTTGCAGTCACTCACTTGAAATGACAGGAAGTAATCTCCATATCTAATTATCCAGTAGTGGAGTTTGAATTGTCTACAAGAACTGGATTGTTAATCATTAGTCGCAAATTTTTCTAGGATTTCCCTTTTTTATTGTCAGTAATAACCAAACAACTGTCTGTTCTGGAGAGTGAGGATGGTGATGAACATCTGTTTTCTCCCCACAGAGGAGCAGGTGGTGTTCTGTAAGCTGTCCGATTTCCAGCAGACCTGTTACCAGTCAGTGCTGGAGAGTGAGGATGTGCAGCTGGTCCTACACCAAAACGACCCGTGCGACTGCAACAGTGGGCTCAGGCAGAGGGAGTGCTGCCATGAGGTAAGCAATGGTTGAACAGTTAGCAGATGCCAAGACAGCTATCTCCAGGTAAGGAAAAATTTTCCTCGTTCAATTGTTTTACTTGCAATTTCAGTAGCATGTATGTATGGTCCTGTGGTAAGTGATCTTGCCTCTGGACTAAGTTATAGAAATCCCATCCAACAAGATGAAGCTAGCTAGTATAACTCATTTTGAACTGAGTCAAGTGAGGAAATAATGTCTTTCCAAAGATCACAACATGTACAGTAGGAGAGATTCAAACCCAAAACCTTTAGATTCAACAACCCTAACCACAGACTGCCTTACCACCTTGTTTGTTTACACAGAGACAAATGAAGACGGAGAATACGTGAGACAGTAAATGTTCAGCTACCCAAGTGTTCTGTTGACGATGTCCATGCATATGGCTTGTGAAGAGAGAATAATTAAAATTGTCCTTGCGGTCTAGTGTGTAGTAACTGTTGATACGTTATACATTTGTACCTTATTCTCTTCCTTCACAGACCAATAAAGAGGGAGAATTAGTGAAACAGTTGATGTTCAGCTACCTGAGTGTCCTGCTGAAGGTGTCCAACCACGTGGCCCTCCTCCTTCCAGAGATGCAGGGCAGTAAGAAGGCCCTGAAGAGAACCCAGCGGGTATGTGATGTGGTGTTCAGCAAACATCCGCACTTTGTCAGGCTGGCAAGGGAGGCAGCGTTTAGGACACTGTCTGATCCAAAGTACTGTGGAAAAATGCAGGTATGTATTTCTGGAAAGAAAATGTTTTAAATTAAATCCCTTTAAACGTCTTAAGTTGAAATCCAACTTTGTAAGGCTGGCCAGGGAAGCAGCGTTTAGGACTCTGTCAGACCCAAAATACTGTGGAAAAATGCAGGTTTGTGTGTATTTCTGAAAATGTTTCAAATTAAATCCCTTGTAGTTTCCATGTAAAGCTATTCATTTCATTGAAATCCACATTTTGT